TTTTTTTTTTGTTTTGTTTTTTTTTGGTAGAGACGGGGTTTAAACGTGTTGCTCAGGCTGGTCTGGAACTCCTGAGCTCAGGCATTCCGCCCACCTCAGCCTTCCAAAGTACTAGCATTACAGGCTTGAGCCTCCGCGCCCGGTCATCTGCTTTGCTTCTTGATTTGACTGTGTAATTAATTTATTTCTCTGTATTTGTGCTCCAAGAAATGTATGTGTATTTTTTTTTTTGGTGATGGAGTCTCGCACTGTCACCCAGGCTGTAGTGCAGTGGCGCGATCTTGGCTCAATGCAGTCTCCTCCTCCTGGGTTCAAGCAGTTCTCCTGCCTCAGCCTCCCGAATAGCAGGGACTAGAGGCGTGTGCCACCACGCCTAGTTAATTTTTTTGTATTTTTAGTACAGACGGAGTTTCACCATGATCTCCAGGATGGTCTGATCTCCTGGCCTTGTGACCCGCCCCCCTCGGCCTTTCAAAGTGCTGAGATTACAGGCGTGAGCCACTGCGCCAGGCTGTGTGTATACATTTATAAGAGCTGAATATGTTAAAAGACTCATAATAAAATCAGGAAACACCTTAATTCCTTCTCTTCCTAGTGACAGTCACTTGGAAATATTTAAGCAGTTCTGGCTTCGAACTCCTGTCACTATTTTCTTATTCACCAATTTGAGACATTATTTTAAAATTTTTGTCATGTTAAATAAGAACTTTGGCTGCCTTCTCTCCACATCCTGAAATCACAATGTAATTATTTTACAAATATTATAATGTAGTTCTCCCACAAATTTTGGATAAATATGTTAAGTGTTTTTATTTGATGACTATGTAGTCTTTAGTAGTGAGCCATAACGTTTCTCTCCAGTACAGGGTGTATCTTTCTGGTTTTTAATGACTGCCTTTTTTATTCATTTGCTTAGTTTTTCTGAAACCTATGTAAAATGTCTTTTGGTTCCATTTTCCTCAAGGTCTAATCTGTCATACAGTCTTATCACTTTTCTGTTTTCCTGGACATCCCCCTACAATCTAGAATGATGAGTTAGTCTGTAGGCATGCACCACACTGGCATATTATTGGGCTTCCCTTTTACCCTCATCAGTTTCCTCATCTCACCTCTGTGTTAGATCTCCTGTTTCCTGTAAAGTATTTCTATTCCTGTTTGGTGGGTTGTAATCTTCTTACTTCCTTGAAAAAGGGTCCATGTGATCTATATATATTAAAGTTGTAGAAATGATTAGAAATTACTTTGTCCTCACGTTTGTGTGGTGTTTTCGACTAGTATACAAATCTCAATAGGAAATTACTTTCCAGTAGAATTTTGAAAGTCAGTGCAGCTGATAGAAAATGGAGCAGTGTTACTGCCACTGTTGAGAGGTCTATTTCATATCTCTTAATGTTCCTTTATATGTAGTCTATTTATCATCTCTTGGAGTTCTTTGGTATTCAAAAATTTCATGATGATGTGTGTTCTAATTATTTAAAGAAATTGCTTGCTTTGATGGATCAATTGTTAGATACTGTGATTTTTTTTTTTTTTTGAGATTAAGAAGTAGAAGTTTTCCCGTATTTGTTTCTTTCTTCCTCTCATTTTTTCTTTCTGGAACTCTGAATAATCTGGAGTTAGACATTAAAATTGCTCATATAGTTGTCTTTTTTCACTTAGTCTTTTTCTTTTAGATCAGCTTTATTTATTTTTATTTTTGAGACAGAGTCTCACTCTTGTCGCCCAGCCTGGAGTGCAATGGCGCGATCTTGGCTCACTGCCACCTCTGCCCCCCTTTGAACCCCTGGGTTCAAAGCAGTTCTCCTGCCTCAGCCTCCCGGGTAGCTGGGATTACAGATGCCCACCACTACACCTGGCTAATTTTTGTATTTTTAGGAGAGACAGAGCTTAACCATGTTGGCCAGACTAGTCGCAAACTCCTGACCTTGGGTGATCCGCCCGCCTTGGCCTCCCAGGGTGCTGGGTTACGGCATGAGCCACTGCACCTGGCCTTATTTATTTATTTTTTTTTTAGAGTCTCATTCTGTTGCCCAGGCTGGAGTGCAGTGGAACGTCTCAGCTTGGGTGCAAGCAATTCTCCTGCTTCTGGGATTACAGGTGTGCACCAGCACATCCGGCTTTTTCTGTGTGTGTGTGTGTGTGTGTGTGTGTGTGTGTGTGTGTCTGTGTGTGTGTGTGTGTGTGTTTTTAGCTGAGACGGGTTTCACTGTGTTGGCCAGGCTGGTATTGGACTTCTGACCTCAAATGATTCACCCACCTCAGCCTCCCATAGTGTTGGGGCCCACCTCAGCCTCCCAGAGTGTTGGGGCCCACCTCAGCCTCCCAGAGTGTTGAGATTACAGACATGAGCCGCTGTGCCCAGTCAAGATCAGCTTTCTAGTTCCTTAAGTTTATCTTTTAACCCTTGTACCTTTTGGGGGGAGTTTTTAAATTATAATTTTTAATTTCCTGGGAAATTAAACAAAAAAATCCATAGAGTTCTGTTCTTATTTCATATAGGAAATATCTCTCTGATTATTTTTTAAATTACGAAGTTTTCAAACAAATACAAAAGTATAGCATTGTGTACCTATCATCCTATTTTTTTTTCTGGTGAGAAGATATACATATTTAGAATTAGCCATCCGGACCCAGTTTATCCCAATTTTGTTGACAACATCCAGAGCATGGTAACCAGGAGCCAGTCAAACATATGCCTTCTTCTGTTCATCAGGCCTGATCAAGGTGTGGACATTGGCCACATGAATGTTATAGAACTTCTTCACAAGACTGTGAAGAAGGCTTGTTGACCTGTTGCTTGTTGGCTTTAAGATCCACAGTGAGCACAAGTGTGTTATCTTCTATATTCTTCATGGAAGACTCAGTAGTCAGTAGGAATTTGATGACAGCATGGTGGTCAGTCTTGTTTCTACTGAGGATGCTCTTCCGAAGATATTTGGCTGCCTCCAGAGTCTCAGTGTCTTGGGCTGCTAGAAGGTGAGTGACACGTGGATCTTCTTTTTTTTTTTGTGGCTATGGATGCTTTCACCACTGCCTTTTTGGTCTTCAAAGCCTTTGCTTTGACTTCAGCCTTAGGACAGGCAGGAGTTTTCTTCATCGCCATCTGTGCCATCTTGTGAAAAAGATGCCATAATTCAATTTTGAGGCAAATCGTGGACATTATATATTATTTGTAAACATTTCCAAATGTATCTCTGAATGATAAGTACTCCTTTAAAAATCATGGCCTGGGTGTGCTGGCTCATGCCTGTAAGCTCAGCACTTTGGGAGACTGAGACAGTCAGATCATGATATCAGCAGTTCAAAACCATCCTGGCCAATGTGGTGAAACCCCATCTCTACTAAAAATACAAAAATTAGCTGGGCGTGGTGGTGCACGCCTGTAGTCCAAACTACTTGGGAGGCTGAGTCAGGAGAATCTCTAGAACTCAGGAGGTTGAAGGTTGCAGTGAGCTGAGATCACACCACTGCACTCCAGCCTGGGTGACAAAGTGAGACTCCATAACAACAACAAAAAAATCATAAGTAGGATATTCTCACACCCGCAAAATTTATAATTCCTTTATATCAAATTTACAGGCAAAAGCCGGGGGAGGGGGTTGGTGTGTACCTGTAGTCGTAGGCATTCAAGAGGCTAAGAGGCCAAGGGGGAGGCTCACTGAAGCCAGGATTTCAAGATCAGCCTGGGAAACATAGTGAGACCCTATCTCTAAAAAAATAGGTAAATAATAAATACATTGGCAATGTTAAGATTTTTCTGTTTTCTCATAAATTTTAAAAACTGATTTCTTTGACTCATGGTCCAAATAACATTCATACAATTTGAAGTCTCTCTGGTTTTTCCATTGAAAAACTGTATCTCCATGTTGTTTTAATTACAATTTCTCTTATTATGTGCTCTTTTGAAGATGCTGTTGCTGCTTTGAAGTTTGTTTTCTGTTGCCTACATGGTTTCCTCTGAATTCCTCCTTTGCTTTTGTTTTACTCTTACACCCCACTGCTTTCTGCTGAGTTCAGTTTACATCCTTTTAGTGGTTCCTTAAGGAACTACTTTGAGTGATAAACACACACACCCATATAGATGCCTTTTTTGTGTGTGATGGAGTTTTGCTTTTGTTGCCCAGGCTGGAGTGCAATGGCAGGATCTCAGCTCACTGCAACCTCCACCTCCCAGATTCAAGCAATTCTTGATTCTCGTGCCTCAGCTTCCTAAGTAGCTGGGATTACAGCTGCCTGCCACCAGGCCCAGGTAATTTTTTGTATTTTTAGTAGAGACAGGGTTTTACCATGTTGGCCAGGCTGGTCTTGAACTCCTGACCTCAGGTAATCCACCCACCTCAGCCTCCCAAAGTTCTGAGTATAGGCCTGAGCCACCATGCCCAGCCTAGATGCCTTTTATATTGCTCTCACTCTTTAGCATACGATTGAATTCTAGGTTGTTGTTGTTTTTCTTTTGCACTTGAAGATATTATATTGCCTTCTTGGCCTCTATCTTTGCATCTGAGAAGTCTGTAGTCAGTATAATTTATATTCCTTTGTAGATAATTTGCCTCTTCAGTAACTTTAAAGTTTCACACATTATTCTTGATATTCTACAGTTTACCTTCAGTGTAGCTGGTGGCTGATGTAGGCTTTCAAATCAAGGACTTATGTATCCTTTCAGCTTGGGGTAAAAGCAATCGTTATCTCTCACATTGCTTCTTTTCTATTCCCATTATTCTTTTCTTCTGGAATTCCTGTTAGACACATATGCACATCTTTAATCCATCTGAAATTTATGAATGCAAGAGAGGTTTTTACCAAACAGAAAGCCATTTGTCTTGATAGTATTTATTAAATATAAAAACCACATTTCAGGAAATCCATGTTAAATATATAGATTAAACAAAATCGCATGGTGATTCACCTAGCGAATCTCGCCATTTATTCAAATATTTTTTTCTGTTGTTTAGTAACGTTGTTTAGTGTCTGTAATTAGTCCTCCAGCTAGAAAAGAATTAAAACTATGAGGAATGAAGGATTAAACCTGCAGTAAAATTCTTAACATCTTTTACCACAAGGCAAACTGTAAGGTTATCCTTGTAAATAAGTTATAAAACAAGTGTGTTTCATAGGGAAATTATTTTTTCTGTCTCAAAAATTTAACTTTATTTTATTTATTTATTTATTTATTTTTAATTCTAAGTCCTGTAGTTTCCTTAAGCAGTTACTAGCTAATATACAGTGGTTTAGACCTATTTCTCTTAAATAATATTCTCCATTGGCTACATAA